AGAAAAGGATTCTTTGTATTGGGCTAAGCTGTAACATTGGTGTCTTTGTATCTTTGTAATTTCTTTTTTCATTTCTTGAAGTTCTTTGTGACTCTTGGAAGATAAGTGTGTTTGTCTTCCACTTGTAAATTTTCTACTGATGAATTAATGAAAGTGTTATTGATCAAAAAAAAAAAAAAACTGGTTAAAAGGAGACCACAACACCCGTTTTTTTCACAGCTTTGTGAATGGAAGAAACAGAAAGAATTTCATTTCTAAGCTGATGGTGGGCAACAATGAGACAGGATCCCCAAATTATTAAGGAGGAAACTGTAGATTTTCTTTGAAAATCCTTACTCATCAGATAGAATATGGAGTCCTTCACTATCAGAATGGACTGGCCCAAAGATCTCGTAAGATAAAAAGTCTTGGCTAGAGAGAGAATTCAGTGAAGTGGAGATTAAAGAGGCAGTTTTTAGCCTTGATAAGATAAGGACCCTGGCCGGCTGGCCCTGATGGATTTTCCTTGATGTTTTATCAGGAGTGCTGGGATATCATCAAGTCAGATTTGGTGGAGGTTTTTACTAATTTTCACAGATCTGCCAAGATGAATCAAGGCAATAACTCCACTTTTATTAAGCTGGTTCCAAAAATAGCTGATGCAATAGAGATCAAAGATTATAGACCAATCAGCCTTCTCAGCAGCTTATATAAAATTCTAGCTAAAGCCTTAGCTAATCGGCTGAAGGAAGTAATTGGATATGTGGTAGACTTCTCTCAAAGTGCTTTCATTAAATGTAGACAAATTGTGGATGGGATCCTGGTTGCCAATGAAGTAGTAGCAGATAGAAATCAAAAAAAAGAAGGGGTAATTTGCAAAATTGATCTAGAAAAGGCTTATGGCAGAGTGGACTAGCAATGTCTTTGGAATATCTTAAAACTTAAAGGATTCGAGGATAAATGGATTAGATAGATGAAAGGATGTGTTCAATCTACCTGGCTCTTAGTCCTCATTAATGGAGCCCCCCAAGGCTTTTTTAGGACTTCTACAGGACTGAGACAAGGATGCCCTCTATCCCCTCTTTTGTTTACTCTGGTAGCAGATTTACTAGACTTTCTGCTTAAGTCCACCACAAATAGACATTTATTAAAGGGTTTCCAGTAGGTAGAGAGAAGATTCAGATTTCCCACTTATTCTATGTCGATGACATAATTCTTTTTCTAGAAGGTGAAGCAGTGTATTTCAGAAATCTGAAGAAAATTCTCACTTGTTTTGAGACTGTTACGGGTTTAAGAGTCAATTTAGCTAAGAGAAGCATTGTAGGTATTCATGTCACCTAAAGCAAGATGAATACCTTTAAAGAAATTCTGGGGTGCAAGACTGAGAAGTGACCTTTAAACTACCTTGGTCTACCTTTGGGGGGAAACCCCTCTTCCCTTGCTTTCTGGAATCCTGTAATTGAAAAATGCGAAAAAAGATTGGACTCTTGGAAAAGGAACTACCTCTCAAAAGGGGGAAGTCTCATTCTTATCAAATCCTCTCTTTCCAGCTTACCAATTTATTTTCTTTCTGTTTTTAAGTTGCCAGCTAAAGTTAGAGCTTGTCTTGAAAAGCTGCAACATGATTTCCTTTGGGAGGGAAGAGAAGAAAAAAAGGAGCACTTAATTAATTGGGAGACTGTATGCAAACCAAAGAAGGATGGAGGTTTGGGTCTTGGCCATTTGGAAGAAAGAAGTGTCGCCCTTCTGGGGAAATGGCTTTGGTGGTTCCCATTGGAGCAAGATAGCCTCTAGGCTTCAGTGATAAGTAAATACAGAAGGAACAACAACGGGTGGGACAGCAACAATGTGACAAACAGATTTTCTCTAGCCAATTCTTGGAAAGGTATTATGCAAGTCTTTCCTCTTTTTTCCTCTTTAGTAAGACTTAGGATTGGAACTGGGAATCGTATCAGATTTTGGACTGGTACTTGGTAGGGTCCTCAATCTTTGTCTGTTACCTATCCTAATCGTTTCAGCCTAACCTTGGATAAAGACATTCTAGTCTCCAATGTCCTAGTTAGAGATAACCAAGATGTGTCCTTTACTTCCAACTTCCGTAGAGCCCTAACGGACATTGAAGCCCAAGAAGCCTCCTCCCTTCTCCTCTCATTAAATGGAGTCTTTCTCTCTTCTCACCTCCCTGACAAACGTATCTGGTCTTTATCTCCCAACGATGTTTTTTCCACTAAATCCTTTTTAACCCACCTTATTTCCGTAACCCCTCCTGCCTTCTTGGTCAACAGAAATTGGCCTCGTGTGGTACCTCTCAAAGTCTCTTTCTTTTTATATGGGAAGCAGTATGGGAGCGTATCAACACTTGTGACATGATACAAAGAAGAAGATTAGGATCCCAATACCTCTCCTCCCACATCTTTGTCATGTGCATGAAGGATGGTGGGTTGACTAGCCACTTACTAATTAATTGTGAGATGGCTCGATCTCTTTGGCAATACTTCCTTGATATGATGTTTGGTGCTAGCTTCTATTGGGTTCCTCCCAATAGTGTGGCAAACTTCTTTAATCAGTGGCCTTCTTGCAAGATTGGTTCAAGAGGTAAAACCTTTTGGAGAGCCTTAACTCGTGCTGTTTGTGGTGTATCTGGGATGAACATAACAAGAGAATCCTTGACAACAAATTTGCTAGGATGAAGGCCTAGGCCATTGGAGAAGGAATCTTTTCTTACATTTTCTCCTGGCTGCTCTCTTCTGATCAGTTCAAAGATTTCAGCTATTCTGATCTTGAAAGAAATTTATTAGAGATTGTACAGTCCTCCCACTTTAACAATCAGCCTGGACAATCCAGCACTCCAAGACCAGATCTAGATTTCTTACTGAAGTTTGATGGCAACAACAGATCATCTGCCAATCAACTGCTAGTGGCTGGCATCGGGGGAGTTATCTTAAACAGAGAAGGTTCTGTGATTTGGGCTTTCAGTGGCCCAGTTGGTTTTGTATATGCTTCTGAAGCTGAAATCAGAGCTTTGGTGATGGGTCTAAGAATGGTTAGATCTCTGCACCTGAACTCTGTTCTCATTGAGGGGATTCCAGAAATGTTATTAATTGGGCTTCCCACCCAGAAAAGGGCCCTTGGAGGTTGGGTCACTTCCTCAATGAGATTTCAGAAATAACATCTTCTCTGCATTGCGGCTTTAGATGGATTCCAAGGGAGCTGAACTCAATTGCAGATCCTTTGGCTGAATCTGGGGTGGATAGAAATTTTTTGTATAGTGTGAATAGTTTGCCCCCTTAAGTGGGGTGTTTTTATAGTTGTGAGATCTTGATGGTTTTGTACACCTTCTCATGTACATCCCCCCCCCTTTTTGCCCCTTTTTGGATATAGTAGTTATCCTTTCTCAAAAAAAAAAGTTGCTGTATACATGGATTTACATTCACTGCCTATGCAGTACCCCCCAGCCCTGCTTTACATCTTCAAATAGTCTGTCCACATGAAAAAGCAAATCCTAGTTGGAATATATGGAGACCATATCCATCTCCAAGGGAAGGAACCATTCCTCCAATCAACAAGAGCTGCATAGAAAGATTTGACTGAGGACGGTCATCAATGCCAGGCTTATCTCCTTTATGAATAGGCTACACTTGGTGCGCAATTTTGCATGCCAAACCTCTCTGAGATCCTATTGATATATGCCTTTGGGATAAACACAATACCTTACAAGCTCTATCTCCCTGGATCTCTATGCCCAAAACTTTGGATGCTCCTCCCATGTCTTTCATGTCAAATCATTGTGCAAGAAATTCTTTGGTTTGGTTTAATAAGCCCATATTTCTACTGGCTATCAGCATGTCGTCAACATACAATACCAGCATGTCGTCTTTGTACCCAAATGATGTGATTACATCATGAAACTTGTAATACCACTAGCAAGGGGCTTGTTCTAAACCATAAATGGACTTGTTCAGTTTGCACACCAAGTGTTCATTGCCCTTTTTCTATAAAACCCTCCAGTTGTTCCATGTAAATCCCCTTTCCAAGATCTCCATTCAAGAAGTCCATTTTTACATCCATTTGATGAAATTCCATGTCATGACTCCTTGATATGTCGTTGCCCCAATTGCCATTGGACACAATTAGAACCTGACTGCAAAATAGCCTACACCATAGTTGTAATTGTCCTCTCCTTACACACAAATGAAGCACCAACCATGTTTAGTATGTTTTTGCTCTCTTCCATTGTTAACAATGGCATATGCACTTATAAAACTTCAAAGGACTTGTGTGTGAACCCCACTGAACCCCTTAAGCACACCCTTTAATCCATCCTCCAAATGGTTACATACAAAACTGGGTGTTAGAAGGGAAACTTCAACAGAAAAATCCCCCCCCGAATTACAAATTTTTCCTTGGATCATCTACCCCCAAATAAGACTAGCAAGCTTGCCCTCATAGAGATACTAATTTCATTGATGCTATCGTAATGCAGTGACAGTCTCAGATAACTATTTACAGCAACGTAAGTTTGAAAGGACATTATCATAAGGACCAACTAAAACTTGTTATTGACATTACTAATGGTCAATGCCTTTGTGCCACAAAGAAAATAATTTTTTACAACACTTTCAACCCAAAAAATTAGAGTGAAGCTAGAATTCAAGGTTACTCTCAGACTAAAATCTACTGCATCGTGATCTTATTTATGCTTTTCTAGGAAATTTGAAGGAAGAGAAACCAATGATTTGTATGGGGAAGAAATAACCACCCAGCATTCCAGCTGTGGATTTGATCTCTCTTCTCAAAGAAGGGATTGGACAGATTATCTTTCAGGAATGGCTTTTGGGAAACCCTTGAGCTCACATATAACATTGCATAAAACTTACATTTCTTGTCAATAAAACCTTTTTTACCAATCAAAGAAAAAGAAAAGAAATGAATGAATAAGGAGATTTTTTTTTCCAAATTCTAGAGATCAATTTCAAATTGCTATTATAATTTGTTAATCTAAAAAGCTACAACATGATAAGAAGCAGACTAGAGAAAAACTAATAGCCATATTTCTTTTTTATCAGTAGCTGATAATGGTTTATTGAGAATAAGAAGAATATATAGGGCATTTACAATATCAGATATATTCTAACTATCCCACCTTTACATTAGAACTATCCTATTGGTGCTCTCCTGCAGCTCCTATCATAGTCCAAAACAAAACAGGCAGAAGAAACTTCCCCAAAACTCATACCACCCATTTTTATCCATGTAATTAGAAGCTTGTGGAAATGAACTATTAAGGAACTTCCATTAGCTCTAGTAGCCATACTATTTACTTGATCTCTATTATCTGCATTTGTGTGCATGTGTAGGTCAGGACAGAAGTGAGAAATACAAAAATTAAGATATGAAATAAACTAGATCCAGAAAATACCTGCTCAAGTCAAGCTTTCTTTTAYGCATGGCAAACCTTATGCGAAGTGGTGTAGAAACAAGAATATCACAAGACATTTTCTCAAAATTACCACTTCTAGCCAGCTCTTTAGTCATTAACTTGATATTGAACTTCTTTCCTTTAGCCAACTTCTTGCACTCTCTGGTTGTCTGAGCAGCTAATTCTCGTGTAGGGCAAAGGATCACAGCTCGAATGCCATCCTTTGATCCATGCTGATTATATGGAAAAAAGTCATTTAAGTATTTATGAATTAGACCAACAAAAATAGAAAAAAAGGTATTTATATCAAAGCAAAAGTACCTTGAAGTTGCTCTTGACAGTACCTTAAGTTTCACAAGTATAGGACACATAAAAGCCAATGTCTTGCCAGAACCTGTTGGTGCACAAGCAAAGCATTCTCGTCCCTGATAAAAATAATATAATTGCTTTCAAAAACAAAGGAAAGAAATAAACATGGAATTATGAACACAAATTGAAATTCTATTCAGATTAAAACTTAAATAGAACAACTTAGCATGCAAACAACCCCACGGGAAATGAAAATAGCTTAAATGGAAGAGCATACAGAGAGAAGAACAGGAATAGCCTGCCTTTGTATTGGTGTTGGTTCTTTAAATCCAAGTTCCGCTAAATTACGTAACAAATATGCTTTGCAGCCAAACCTATTAAACATTCAAAAACAATTGTTAGTGACCATCTTAGAATTTGAATAAAGCAACAGAAAACAGATCCAATGGCAAAAAATGAAAACAATATTGCTTCATAGGAAATTCTCAAGCACTAATATGGTGAGCAAAAGCAATGTACATGCAATTGCAAGTTGTTAAAATGTTAAATACTGAACATGTATACTTGATAACCATGATTTGTAAAAGAAAGATATGTTGCATAAACAAAACTATAAAACCCAAGTAGTCATGTACCATCAGGATTTATTGGACAGGTTACTATGCCACAAGGAAATTTTTCACAAACTCAATAAATTACTAATCTGAACTTATCTGGATTTGGTGAAGAATGTAACCTGAACTTGTAAAAGAAAAGTTATTCTAAATTCCATCTGGGATTACCCATAGTTCAGACTATTGAAAACAAATCAAGTTACATAGTCAAATAAGACCTAATTCACAAACACATCTGATATTCATTAGCGTACCTTGAGCTAAGCTCTGCAAAATTCTGCAATGGAGATGGGACGTTATGACCAGAAATATGAATTCCATGTTTTTTACGTAATATTGAATCCCGCTAAACTCATGAAGAAAAAAAAATAAAGTTAGCAGCCAAATAAACCAACAAATAAAGTTAGCAGTAGAGAGATAAATCACCTCAATTTGTCTGTTCAATTCCTTCTTTTCTCGGGAAAGTTCATTTTCTGATTTTTCGTTCTGTGCAGTTGCGGTGGAAGATTCTGAACTTTTGAAGACACTGAATCCTTTTACTGTTTCTGAAATACAAATCCACGCATGCATGAACACAGAAAGCACATAGTACTATAGTAGTATTTAGCAAATATTAGGCCATTTCAACACCATTACTTAAACGACCAACAAACCAACCACGAAACTTACCAGTAACCTTTCCTCTTCGCTTTCTCTTTTTCCCAGATACCATATCGTCTGCTGGTTCGGTTTGGCTGGTTTCCACCAACCTCAACTTTTCGGGTGAATTCGCGTTCTCCTTTTTCTCCTAAACGTATGAGAAAAGAATGACTTGATGTATTCGAAACAATAATATTACAAAAAAGATTAAACGATAACTATTTAAAAAAAAAACAACTTTTGAACTTGAAGCTATCTACTTTGGATCCACAGATGAAGCGTGAATGAATTAGAATGAAGATTGAATACACGCTTGTTTTAATATTCACTGAAGATTTTCAGAAGAGAAATAAAAAGGCCTCCATCGGTCTAAGGGAAGAAAAAGACAACCTTAAATCTGGCAATGTCGCTAGCAAACTTCTTCCTATCGAAACGGATGCCTGAGAACAAGAACGAAGAAGCCTTCTCCATGATCGAAGGTGGCGAAACCCTGCAAAACTGTTGCTACTTCACTTTCCGACTTCCAACTGAGGCTCTCCCTTAAACCCTACACAGCGTATTTCCTATTTTCCTTCCGACTGAGTATCGATGGTCTTAAAACCGTTCTTGGGCCCAGCCGCCCAGGGTTTATTAAAGCATATTAAGGCTCAGTTTGGAAGAAAGTACAAATACAAACATGTAAAGTGCAAATTATTTTTTTACACTCTTTCCAAACAAAGCCTAAGCTCTTGTAACCGGTAAGGAGGTAACCCCTATCCATCTCCGTGGGACCCACTTTTCTGACAATTAGGTCAGATGAAATGGCAAAATATTCTATATTTATGGCTAGCATTTGCTCACGAGAAAAACATATAAGATACTTGGCCCCACATGATGTTCAATATCCACGGCGCTCAAGCTGGACTCAACCCATTACCGTAGGACTAGCATTCCTCTTACCGTAAAAACTTTAGGCCGTGTTTGTGGTAATGAAGCTGGAAAATGGGCGAAGTGGGTGCCGAAAGGAGCTGTAGCAGAGAGGATCTTGAAATTGATCTCCAATGCAACTTCGAGTCCCATTTGCTAGTTCGTTTCCTCTCCCACCACGTTTTTGCATTCGGTGAACCCCAGAATCAAATTGGTAATGTTCGTATTTTTTTTTTGTGATGGGGGCTTAAATTTGAAGGTCTGATGGATTTAAGTTGATGCGCCTTTGTTCTTCTTCTTTACGATGTATGGGTGGGGTCTAACTTGTTCGAGTTAGATCTTCTTGGTTCCTTTCAAGAATACTGCATTCCCATTTGGAAGATTATTCATTTTATCTCAAATAAGATAGTTTCTCTTTCAGGCATTGGATTTAATTTACAGACCTTTTTGGTTTATCTATTATATCAGCTATATATACACACTTCTGTAGAAAAAAAATATTGCCCAAGTTCTGATCAAGATTTCTTCCCATAATTGTTTATTTTACTTTTTTTTCAAAACGGTAAAACATTGATTTATATTGCAATATATGCAATTGATAGACCAGAACCCATGTAATGTACAGTCAGCCACTCGGACTCTGTTCAAGTGGTTACTGGTTAGGTTGTAAAATGAAAAGATCTATACAGATCAGGGTTTTTTTTTTTTGGGAATTAGTTTTCATACATTTTCAAATTCCATTTTTCTAGGGGGCTCGATTATATGCTTAAGCCCATTGACGAACATTTTTGTGGAGAATAGTATTAAGTTCTCGTTTTTATTTCAATCCTTCCTGGTTTTACAGGTATGGCTTCTGGCTTTTGTTGTTTTACTGGCAAGATCAAATATAGTTATGCGCTTTGCATTGGTCATATGCTTGGCTCTTTTATCAATATGGATCCTCCCTACTCATTTGTGGATGGTAAGCCTGAACATAAGTAGCTCGTGAAGCATGAACAGTTTTAGGATGTAAACAAGTACAAGCCTCATCTGTTCAGCATTTCTTGTGACAATGCTTTCCATTGCAGTAAAGTTTCCACAGAAATGGTCTTTAGATATCATGAAGGCAGTAAAATCTTGTTATTTGATATTGAGAAAATCTGATTGAAATAGGATCAGCTGATTGGACTACAGATGAATTGGGTAAGACCCAGAAATTGCTTTGTCTTGTTCTAGTTAAGAATTTAGAATTATCAGTCTTATGTTTAGCTTGAGTTAGTCATTTAGAAGTAATTTCGTGTGCATTATATTGTCTTTTCTATTATTTTCTTTTCAGTCTTTTCCTTTCTTTTCTTTTTTTTTTTCTAACAATGTAAATCGAACTTTTGAAGATATTCAACCCTTGTAAAAATATGAAGTTTCTACTGATTATTTTTGAATACCTTTGGTAGGATCAATTGGCAAGAGTGGGCTTGCTTTCTGGTTTGTTATTTCTTATGCTGGGATTGGGCTCAGATGGTGTGCTTTCTCTTGTCCAGTTAAGAACCCCACCACCAGCTATGATGGGATTGCCTAACATTCCTATGTCATTGGGAGGTTATTCATATTTAGTTATGAAGCTAGGGCCACTGCAGCTTGCCAGAAAAGGCTTGTCAGTGGCAAGCACATCTGCCTGTCTGACCTTCACAGTATGTTGCTATTTCCTTGTATTTGTCCACCTATGTTTTTGTATTGCCTTTGACATATTTTTTTGCCTTCAAAAAAAAAAGTATGAGTTCTTTTCAACTCTTCATTAGGGACTGTTTTGTAGAATATTTCCTAGTTATTCCTGAAAGAAAGATTCAATCAGTTATTGTCATTTGATTGCTGCAACATTTTGAACCAATACCTGTTTTTCATTGAAAGATCTTCCAAAGTGCAARCCTTTGCTTAGTTACCACAACTCCAAAACAACTTGCATCTGCTCTAAGGTGGTTTATGCACCCCTTGAACATGATTGGTGCTCCAGTGGCTGAAGTTATCCTTACCCTATTGCCTTCCTTGAGTTTCATCAATTTAGTGTTTGATGAGGTAATAGTTGGGTAGGTTGCTTTCAGTAAACATTTAGATATCATCTTTCTATAGAAGATTCCATTTCTTTTGGTAATTTAATCAATTATTTTTGGAAAAAATCTTTTTAGTAACTGCTTATACTTTTGGCAGGTCCATAATGCTGCTTTAGGGATTGTAGCTCAAAGGATAAACTGGAAGCAGTTGACAGTAATGGAAACTATTGAGTTGTGGTCTCATAGTAATTTCTTTAGGGATTGTAGTTCAAAGTAATTGCTTATACTTTTGCCAAATCCTTTATTGTTGGTACATCATTAGTCTTTTCTGATACAACTGAGTTGTGGTCTTAAAATCAACCAAACAAACTTGAGCTTTTGTGGTAAGGGAAGAAGTCAATATTTGTTGGAGCCATACAGCACACATGCAATATCATCAGTACTCACCATTTAGTGGATTTCTTTAGCAGTTTCAGTTTTTAATATAAAACTTGCACAGATAAAAGAACTCTTTCGAAGACATGGCAAAGTCTTTTGGGCTCCGAATTAATTTTCCTTGCAGAAAACATAATTATATACATACAAAAACCTCCTAATCTTTTGGTCTTTCATGAATCATGAGGAATGAAAAGGTGTTAGGCTCCTTGAGTATCCTTTCTAATGACTTCAGATGTTTATCTTACTGAGGACAAGAGGGCCCCCTATATATGTTTGACTTTCTTTGGTTGGATTTGCCTCTGTAACTGTAAGTTGACCATCAGACTTTTCTGTGTTATTGGCAGATCTAAGTGGCCCTTCTTTATTTCATCTTCTTTTACAGTAGAAATTCTTGGTATTATTATCAGTTCTACAGAAATTGCCACAGAAAATTATTGGAAAACAATAATTGTTTTACTCTTGGTATTATTATCAGTTGATTATGAGAATTGTTTTTTTGCCTTTGGCCTTATAGAAGTGGGCTGTATACTTATTAATATATTGTTTTGTTCATGCAGTTTTTTCCATATATGTTCACAGTTCACCGAATCTTCAAAAATATTCAGTCATGCTGAGCAAATCTCCCAGCTTTGGATTCTTTTTAGGTATGTTATTCTTTAAAACCAAAGACTTTCATCTTGAATGGGTTGTTATCATGTTATCCTTTAGTGATATTTTAGTTTTGCTCATCTGTCCAATGCCATCTTATTGGTATGTCAAGGGACATTGAGAAATTGTATTGTCTGGACAACTCAACATCCATATCATGGGGCCTTAAACTGCCCATTTTTTCTACAAAATTATTTCATTGACATAAAACATTGTACAAGTCTAATTATCAAAAAAAAAAAAAAAAAAACTGTGCAAGTCTACTTACTTGCACAATTTTCATCCAATAAATCCATTCCTAGACTTCCTGATTATGAATTTTACAGGCAATGATTGTCAGAGGTTTCCGAGGCAATAGTGACTCCTACAATATTTACCTCTTATTGGAGTCATCTTTTGGGATGGAAGATGTGATTTCTTTGTTGTGCCTTCTTGGTTTAATAGGTGCTACTATTCTGGCTGAATTCTTTCTAACTTGACATCTGGTTAGCCTTGGGTAAGTTCTCATGATTTTCTCTGACAATATCTACTCCACTGGCATGCTATGTCAAGTTAAATTCCCTGCAGTATCAATTCTGGATCCAGGTCTACAAGTCTGAACAATCAACTGGGTTGCCACTTGCCAAAGAGAAGAGTACAGTGGACAAGCCAATCTGTCTATTGAATTTCATGAGGAAAGAAACATTAGATTGTCATTTCTTAAAAGTTCCATTTTACTTAAATGGTTTTTTGCATGCCTTTCCCTAGCCTTTTATTTCACATGTTAATTATCTGGTTTTCAGGGAAATGACTGCAGATGATTTGATAACTACCTACATGGGCATCTCATTTATTTAACTTGATGCAGCTTAAATACAGTCAAGATGCATTATTGTCTTGCAAAATGATTAATTTGAGAAGTGCCTAAATTTGCAGTTCAACAATGTATAGATGGTTTCATATTTATATGGATCATGGGATTAACCTTTGTATGGATCTTCACTAAACTTGTTATATGCCTGTATATTTGCAAATACAAATAAAGTTTTACCTATATATATATTAAAGTGAAAGGGGTGCTTTCCCCTTTCGCTAAATGGAATCTTACTGTAGATTTGTAGATTTACTGTAAATTTACATACTTGCAATTCTTTACTGCATGGCAAACACGTATTTATATTTCTGTCTTTTTTCCTTGCATGATTCAACACTTGTCCATGCATATCTGTATCCCTCCGCTTTAACCACTTCCCCTCTCTTCTTCCCACTCTCTCCGTCTATCTTCCACCTTTCTGTGTGTCTCTTTCTCTTCCTCCCTCCTTTTCCCCCTCCTCTCTCTCTCTTGAACTCTTTCCCCTCATCCCTCTCTACTTCTCTGTTATTTATTTATTTATTTGTTTATGGGTTTTCCTCTTTTCTGTTATGGTTTTGTGTGCCATGGTCTTCATGGTGGTGGTGGTGGTGGAAGTGGTGGCAGCATGTGATGGTGGCATTGTCAATGGGGCTTCAAGTTTGGCCTCTTTGCATGGTCGATGGAACCATTTACATGGGGAAATTGGATTTGCTCCTCAACGCACCTCACACTGACAGAACCATTTACTCTGTCTCCATCTACTGGATCATTTAATTAAGAGATTAAATTTGAAAGAGAGGGAAAGAGATAGCGAGTTGCTGATTTCCGAGCCAAGTGAGTTCTACTTACATTTCGATTTCGTCGTAGACAAAGCAACAACAGCGGAATAAAATGAAGGCAAAGTGACTCTTGAGTGTGGATTGCAGTTCGCGGAGAGCGGACATGCTGACTCACCAACCAACACAACCCACATTGGAAAGACATCATTTCAAACGTGTTGTGACGTGATTGAAGACATGGGGTTTCTCTACATTTTCACCCACCTCCTCTTCTCCATGTTTTTTTCTCAAATCGACTCCAATACCCATCACGACCCACCTCTGTCTCTCTGTTAACATACCAGACCACATGTAAACCAACGGATTCAAATTTCATCTTCTCTCTTTGATTCTCTATAAGTATGGGGTTTCTCTACATTTTCATCCACCTCTTTTTCTCCTTCGTGTTTTTTTCTCAAATCGACTCCATTACCCATCACGGCTTCACCACCTCTATCTCTCTGTTAACCCTACCAGATCACCTGTTAACCAACGGATTCCAGTTCCATCTTCTCTTTGTTTCTCTGTAGTTTTGTTTCGCCTATACTTGGGTGGGGTTTTGGTTGGGGGTTAGCATGGGAGACCAGCGTCGGCTTTTTTTTTCTTTTTTCTTTTTCATGTTTTTCTTGTTAGTAGACAATTTTATTGTTTTTCTAGGTGAGTTTTGGTGCAGGTGTCAAGTGCCACATCCACCTTTGCTATGACATTCTCTTCATCTATGTCTGTTGTAGAATATTACCTTCTGAAGCGTTTCTCAGTTCCATATGGTAAGTAAAGCAACTGTAGTCTCTATTATCATTCTTGATTTTGTTCTGCTGGTCGAGAACAATTCTTGACCCCAAGAATAAAGAGAGAAAAATATGTATTTGGGTGTACATATAATGAAGTTTTCAGTTTACTATTTATCTTCTATTTTTGAGCCTTATTGGGAAGCTCTCTACTTTGTTGTTGTGGCAACCATTGCTGCCTTTATAGGGCAATATGTAGTGAGGATGCTTATCATTGTATTAGGGAGGGCATCCCTCATCATCTTCATCCTTTCCTTCACAATCTTTGTCACTACAATCTCACTAGGTTGAGTATCATTTGCGAAAAAGTGGTTTCAAGTATTCAATAAGGTTGTCTTTGGATTGAGGGGCAGAAGTGGAAAAGCATCTTAGATGCTACAATTCAGTGGAAAATAAAAATGACTACCCCCTTCCCAAGTTATTATTACCATCCATTATAATGACAGATAAAAACATGACTAATAGTAATAATCTGTTATTCTCTATGATCCAGAGCTGAGTGGTGAAGGAGATTTTCAACTCCTTTTCAACCACATATTTCTGCTTTTGCTCTAACGCAAACACAGCTTAACTGAAAGACCAAACAAACTATTTTTCTACATTCACCCTCAAAAAATTGAGCTTCTTCAAATCTGAAGGCTCTTTATTTTATTTAACAGGTGGAGTTTGTATATCAAATATGATTTATAAGATCGAGAAGAATGAGTACATGGGTTTTGAGAACCTCTGCAAGTATGATGCTTAATCCGATTTTTTTTCTTCACCTCTCTTTCTTGTTCTAAGTCATTTTCACCAGGCACAAGTTGCGCCTCATGCTTTTGTAATTTTTCAATTGCTAGGATGAAAACAACGATTTCCTTTTTTCCCTTTCTTTTTTCCAATTTTTATATATATGATAAGGCTGCAACTTGGGCCAGGTTAGCCCTAACCCAACTTGAAAAAGTCGGGTTGGGTTGGGTCAGGTTGATGCTCAAGTTAGGGTTAGGGTTGAAATTTATGAACCCAACTTTACTTCGGGTTGGATTAGGGTTGACCCTTTGGGCAATCCGGCCCAACCCAAGCCCAACTCTGTAGTACATATTATATATAAATATATGTAATATATATGATCATACATGATTTGTCTAGATGCATGATAGTTATATAGCCACTACCACATACTATCATTTATTTCATTTAAGATAATCACTTCACTTAATCCTAATTGGAAATACTAAAACATTGATAACATATTTTATGTTTTCTGAATATTTTATTCCTTATCTCCTCTCTGTTGTTTGTCACCCATAGCTTGCTGCCCATAAAAGATCTATTATAAATCATCATAATAAACTATAGTCATTTCAAACATTTTTTTTCCGAATTTTGTACTTAGAGAACCAATAAAAACATCAACAAACGAATACTAGTAAAACATAGGATTAATATATGTAATGAAAGTTGAGTTAAGATCTAAGATTAAGAAGTTGTACAAGATTTTAAGGGATGGGAAGAAGGTTGGGTTGGACCCAACCTGAGCCCAGCCCAACTCAAAGTTGAGTTTGGATTGGATTAGGGTTGAAGGAATTTAGTTAGGGTTAGGGTTGGGGTAGGGTTTGGTCTCAACTTGACCTAACCTGGCCTGACTTGCAGCCCTAATATATGATGATTCCATAGTTAATATATTTAAGCTCAAATAACCTAGTTCATTATTTAATTTAATCTTGAAATAATGATTCTGGTTGGAATTCTGGAACTCCCGTATATAAACTGTTTCTGGATTCTAGGCCTTTTGGCACATGATCATTAACAGTAAAAGTTTCATTGACCTCAGCTTTAGACATAAAATATATAGTTGGATGGAGAGATCAGCCTACATGATAGATTGATTGATCAGAAATTCAGAATTGGTACCATTAGTTGTCTTCTGTTATAAAAGAAGCAACTAAACACAATTTAAATCTCAGAGATGCACATGCACTTAAACTATACAAAATCAGCTTATATTTGAGCAATAAATATGACCAAAGAAACGGCAACCATCCTACTCACGTTCTATATGGATGCTCAAAGTGGATCATGGCTTTCACATACCTATATGGCTATATTGATAGTTCAAAGGGGGTGCCAATTGGATCAGATTTGGTCCAATCCGATCAGGTCTAATATGAGTCCATTACAAATGGATTAGCTCCAAATTCCAATCGAATCTGATGAATACTTTGGACCTTTTGGACCAGTCCAAAGGATCAAAGGGTTACCGAAAATCCGGGAGGCATGGAAGGCTATGGTCTTGCTGGTTGGACTTGAAGTGAGAATGGCTGAAGGAATTTGTGATGGGAGCGCTTTTATCTTTCCTTTCTCTGATAACCAAATAAGAACAGTTTGGTTATTTTTATCATTTTACTAAGACTGAATTTTACACAATTGTTTCTTTCTTGGAATAGGTTTGATATTGCAAAAATCTTAGCAAACTTGTAATTCATATTATGGCTTTGTTTAAACCTTTAAAAATGTGAATAAAAAGTGGGAAAATACAAGGTTGTTAATTTTAATAAATTCTTAATTACTAAAGAACACTAATTAAAAATTTGAAACATTTGAAATTTTATATTTACATAGTTGGATCAATTACCAATCCCATTTAAGATAATCAACCACTTATCAACTTTAACTTGTCCCGTGTCCCCATCAACTAGTTATTGTATGAAAGTGTTTAATGGTGATATGCAGTTTTAACTTTTTAATTCGGTATACCTTTTTTTTGCCTTTTTAGTTTTATTCCCAACCATATTTTCGAACACCCCCTGAAATAGAAATGCCTAACTTTATAGTTGAGGCCTGTTTTTTACCAAGTTCAGAATTGGCTCAGCTTCCTTTGATGCTTTGTTATTACACTCAAGGTTCAAAGTATCGACACATATCGGCCCGTATCGACTGATACGTATCGCTCCGGGACCACTCTGGTACACCCCTACAGTATTGGGGGTGGGGTCTGACCGGTTCAGGGTGTAGAAGAGGCCTAAACCAGTTTCCCTAAATCAGTTGTGAAAAAAAATAAAAAAAGCACCAAAAGCTGTATCGATTCGCCCGATACGCCCATACTGGCGTATCGAGCGTATCAATATTTTGAACCTTGATTATGCCCACTGAAGCCCAAATTCAGAGTCCATGATTTGAGGCCCATAAATAATGTCTATTAAGGCTGTGTTTGGTTTTAAAGAAGAGGTAGGGAAAGGTGGTTTCCTACCTTCTTCCTAAAGGAAAACAAAATTGATAAAAAAAATGAAACTTACATTTACCGTTTAGTCCAATGGAGTGTCCATATTCTCAATTCAATTTTAACGGACTAATTCAAGTAATGAACATTCAAACTCAGGTTCCAATATGAACATCTAACTAGGAGAAAGCAATTACAGTCCTATGTATTTAGAGATCTAGATACTCCCTAATTCGTATATTTCCATTGCTCAAAGCCTAATGGTCTTTTTTGTTGAAAGCCTAATTGGTAGTATTTCATGTATCACCTATTCAGAAAATTGGTGCATTATGTATCAATACTCT